TGGCCTGCGTAGGGACTGGCGGCGAGTGAATGAGTTCCTCTTCCCAGGGCACCGCTATTATTTGCGCGCCAAAATGTATTAATTTCTTTTAGTTTTTTGATTACACTATATACATTGGAATAATTAGACCTTTCCTGTTTAATTTATTTTGTGCTCTTATTTTTAAGCATGTCTCATAAGCCGCTACGGTTATAACATTATTCAGGCTTTATCTCTGAATTGTAACAATTTAAACCTTCTTCCTTCAAGTCTGTAAAGTACCTATTTAGCTAAGCAGATTTGACCGCGTTCAATAAAAGTTATAGCATTGTACTGTATTGCATTGCATTTCTTTGCTTTGCATTTTATTAAATTTATTGTATTGTATTGTCACCCAAACATTTGTGACCTTGCCTCCAAAACAAAAAAATTCCGATTTATTCCCGAAATATTTGGCAGTGTTCTTAAATGCATAGAAAATGATCTTCAAGTTCGACGTACTAGGGAAATTATAAAAGGGAATCTCCAATCTTTTCATATCTATGCGTAATGCATTATTATTATTTTTTTTTTGCTCAACTCGTTTTACAGGAAGTAACATCCATCAAAGATTCCTACAAGAAGAAAGCAAAGATGACAAGGAAGGTTTTTAACTCAATGGAAAATGTTAAGTGTAACGAGGTGGCAGGTGCAATGTATGCGTTTCCGAGGATAACAATTCCAAACTAAAAGCTTTCGAGGCAGCCAAGGTATCATGTCCTGTTTCCGGCCCTGATCTCTATTGCCACACTGCAGAATACTGTCAGTAATGGATATCCTAAGTGTATGGTAATCCAGATTCCGGAACCTGGGAATTCTTTTTTTGTAGACTGATCTGGAATCAGTTCTGGGGTTTGAAATTCGGAATTCAGACCCGGTTGCTCAAAAGATGGATAGCGTTATCCACGTGATAAATCTCTATCCAGTGGATAAGTATTAGGAAACCAATGATTCCTGGCCACGTTTTTGATATGAAAGGCAGCGGTAACAACTGTTACTACAGGTAAGATTTGATTTAACAAGGGCCATCAACTTCAGGTCGGAATTTTGATGATTTTAAAAACCTCTCTGTGATATCAGTATAGGGAGTAGCAAATGTCCTTTTCAAAATCATCCTGTTAAAAAGTTTGTGTGTTTAAGAGTTCTTATCATATGGAACCACCTTATTCGTACGAAAATTGAGCTGCCTAGCCAAGTATGGCCTAAAGTAAATGGTCTCTTGTTAACGAAGTGTCCTGCCAAATTTTTTAGCCAGTCGAAAATTTGCTCGGATGCCTTGTCAACATAGCTTGATTCATGGCTCACAATATTGCGCCAGTGATATTTCACTGGTCTTGCTTTCTTTGATCGATTTTTATTAGTTTTAAATTCTAGGATTTCCAGAAGGGTTTTGGGAAGATACTTTGTTTAACCAACCTCATAGCCCAGCGTTTAGATAAAGCTCTACGCGAGAAACATTCCGGAGATAAGAAAAGACAGGAGCAACTGCAGAGTACTTTATCACAAGTGCTAACAACAACCTTGTCAGGAAAACTGGACAAAGCAGTGAAAGCTGAAGTTAAGAGTTCTGTTGCACCTACAGTACAAAAAGTATTGAACTCCATACAGGAACAACTTAATACTACACTGGCACAGGTGGGTAATGATCGGCTAAGATGCTCCTAATCCACAGGTAATCCAACCCTTCTTCACCCCACTCAGAAAGGGCTCGAAAAAAGTCAGGTACGTTAGTCTAGGGCGAGTAGATCTTCTCGCTGGGCAAGTTGCTCACTTGCCCCCTGGCAAGTTATCCTCTGACAAAATCATTAACTGCAATAAGGAAGTAGTTGGCCCGGGCAAGAAAAATTGTGAGAGCTGCTTGCCCGAAAGATGTGCTGGAATTCAAGATTTTTTCGAGCCCTGGTCACTGATAGTGAATTCAACTTTTTTTTCGAGCCCTGGTCACTGATTAGGGTAATCAGAGCATGAATGGGAAAAACGCGGAGACTTCATTAGTTGTGAAATACGGAAATATAGTACTGTGCAATAGTACTGGCTAAGGGGTAGGGGGTGGGGGCTTCATTCTTAACTGACTAGCTTCGAAGGAACCCGAAAGCGACCACCGCGTCACGCGGTTGTCACTAAGGGCCGGGGGCCGGGGATTTCCCCCGGCTACTCAGAGTATGGCCCCCGGCTACTTTCATCGTTAAATTAAACCAAAAGATCACACCTTTGAAACACACAAAGACTATCCATCAAACTAAATGCAAGTTTCATCTGCAGCAGTTTTAACTAATTTTGAAACACTCTCATGCAAAAACTAAGAAATGTCGGAAAAAGACATCTGCCTTAGATTTGGTTCTAGTACACACGCGCGAAAACTCTCTGTTCGCGAAATGTCAGTAGGGAGTTTTAGCAACGACGACGGCGACGGCAACGAGAACGTCAAAAAAGCAATAGGTTTATTGAGCAAAACAACAGGTTTGCACGTGCATTACGCTTTTTTGTACGTTTCTTTGCCGTTACTGTATGACTTCGACGTAAAAATGCCTGGCTTCACGTCTTATGGAGGACGTAAAGAAGCGACAACAAACTTTTCTTTTTCTTTCTAAACTTGAGTGCGGTCCCAAAGAAATCAGCTCTAGGGAAATTGCCCACATTTGCTGTTTTCAGCGAATTGTAATAAACGCGAAAAAGTTGGAAAAAACGCCAATTCATTTTAAAAGTGGCGTTTTCGCTGCCGTCACCTTTGCCGATGCTAAAAGTCCCTACTTTCAACCGTTGTGCCGGCTTTGTGTTGAACATGTCGAAGAAGTGGCTAAGGAATCTGCACTCTTTGTTCACGATGAAAGACCTGAGCAGATTTCTGTTGACATCACAGAAGAAGTTGAGGCTCCATCCGAGCGTTAAATCTCCCTGATGCTGATGTTGATGATAATGACGATTATGATGAAGGCTTTGAAGATGAAGACTATGACTGATTGCTATGTTTAATAAATTGACATTGAAGTGACCAGGTCTACATTTAGCTTTAGGTATCGAGTATATAAAATAACGCACGGTCAACGGGAAATGTTCGATCATTGTCCGCAGGTTATGATCACATCCTCTCAGTTCTACTTCCAAGAAGTTATATATAAAAGGGAAGTTAAACATTAGAATTACTTTTGCATTCTCCTCCTTGAATTTCGTTTTGACATCTCAGTGGCGTTTATAAAGTATTAGCCCTGTCTTTTAAAAGCTTTTCCGTAGGTCAGTTTCTTCGTATGTTAAGTGATGTTTCGTTCCTAAATTAGAGACCACTAATCTTACCAGTTGTGCAGTTTAGTTTTGCCATATTTTATGCGCGATTTTTCGTACGTTACGCTTGTTTTAGCCTTACCATACTTTTATTTTTCAACAAACTATAGTAACCTTATGTTTATGATGCTTTTTCGTACATTCATCTTCACCCTGTCTCCCCTCCGCTTCTCCGTGGGTTAATTCATTGTAATATTAGTTTTACTTTTGTTTTCCGTAAGTTGTTTCGTTCTTACGTATAACTAAATGAGGATTTACAATTGATTTTACAGCGCATGTTAATTCATTTGCACCATATAAGAATCGATTGTCCTTTCCACATTTTTAACATTTGTAAAGTATCATTGTGATTTAACACATCACTGGCCAGCATGGGCCTTGTCTTCGTGAAGATAAGACTGCATGGAGAACGTGACCGGTGCCTACCTGTCATTTTTTGCAGACCCGGTGCTTACATGTATATTCTCATTTGGCAGCCACTAAAAAAACTCTCCAACGAGCCTTTACATAAAACAAAAACTTATTATCTTAGTGTCTCAGAATGTTGTAGTTTTCTTTAATAAAGACGTGATCATCGCAAAACCGCTAATGATAGCTGTACTCTTGATGAAGATTGCTGTTTGGGGGCGGTAGTGCCTTTTAGAAAAAGGAAGAAGTTGCACTTGCTCCATGACTGCTTGCGACTTCCCCGGCTACTAACAACAAATACCCGGCAACTTGAAATCTTAGTGACAACCCTGGCGTGTAAGAGATCTTCAAACCTTGGCTTTTTGGGTGGCTGCTTGTTGGAGGTTCGACTGTATTACTGCTTTCCCTGGACTGGACACTGGTTCATCCCTACATAATGTTGCAGATGCCCTGGCATTTATACCCATTTTGCATTGAATTAAGAAAAAATAACTGGGGTTCAGTTGAGTTCAGTTCGTTTTGTCAGCAATACACTTGTTATGAACGATTTGGTATTTTTCATGTCGTGAGTTTGGGGGAAAGAACAAGTCTGAGTTACGACGAGATTCATGCTATCCACCAAACAACAGTGTGGATGCTCTTCGCTGTAGCCTGCAGTGTAGACGTTTAGGGGGGATGAGGGGGGATAAGAAAGAAAACAGCACAATTTTCTAACCCCTCCCCCTGTCATATCCACCTTTTCCCCTTTCACCCTATTGCTCTTGATCTTCCCCCAATTTTGCTCTCCTTAAGAAATCAAAAATGGCTTCTGCAGACAAGCTGAATGATCAATCACCCGAAAAATTATGCGTGTACCACAGGCTACCTAAGCTGCGGTGGAACTCGTGGTGCACCAGGCTATCTACTTGTAAAATGTAAAGTAATCAGATCAGAAATGCTTCTTTAAGACAGAGACTTTCCCTGTAGCTTTCTAGTTTAGTTGTATCCCTGCTAATTTTGGTTTTCTTGATAGAAACTAACAGCTGCTGATACTGTTTTAAAGGAGAGTATTGCAAAAATGGTCAAAAGCAAGGTATGATATGCAAGAAACGAAACACGTTTGGACCAAAGCGGTCAGTTTATAAACAGATGGATAATGTGATTCTTACTATTGCTTTTTGTGGTTTTGTGAACAGGGTGTGGTCGATGCAATAGGTGGTGCTGCAGCCACTGCATTGCAGGGCCCTATTCAGGTCACTTATCGTGAAGCATTCCAGAGCACCATTCTGCCATCCTTCGAGAGGGCCTGTCAGAACATGTTCCAGCAGATCAATGAGTCTTTTCATAAAGGAACTCAGCAATGTAAGTTTTGATCTGTTCTGCGGGATTGTTTATTGCGTTATAATTGGGCAGCTTCAATCCCTGGCTATGACGTTCAGTTAGATTGTTCATTTGAAAAACATACTAAGATACTGGCATTTGCTGAAGGGAGTGTTTGACAGTCCCAACATTGAGTGTCAAACAAAAGTTGCGACGACTGGATGTCTTTAGGTATTAGAGAGCTTTAGTTTCTAAGACGAGAACGACTATGAATACGAGATTTTCTTAATAGTCCACGCACGTGACGCAGCGTCATTTTGGCGGGAAAATGTTGTAGCCGTCATCATTGTACTTCGAGTTTTAGCGAGAGAGTCGTAATGGCAGGATCAAATTCTCAGATGTTAGAAGTAATGGCATTTTGCAATCGGGAGAGGGCTCACCCTCTTTCAATAACGATAACAGTGTTAACTTTTCTAGTGAAAAATGGTAAAATGAAGCTTTCCGGGGAGTCTATAATTTGAGAATACGCGAAAAAACTCTAAATCAAATCTCGTGCTCGTAGTCGTTCTCGTCCTCCAATCTAGAGGTCTCTATTAACTCTCAAAAATACCATAAACAGCCATTTATAAGCCTCTTCCTAACTTATAAGTCCCTCCAGTTCTAGGCTCATCTTCCTGTTAACAACAAAAAAATACATCTGATTATAAGCCAATCCAGATATAAGCCCCCCCCTTCCCGCCCCTCTCTAGCTTATCTTGAAATGAATTCGACATATTGTGATGTTATGACCCTCAAGTAAAAACCAGTAAATACAGAACGTATTTTGATCAGTTCTGCTATAGCCTGTTTGGAAGCGCTTTTTCTATACTGGTTATAAGCCCTCTTGAATATACGCTCCTCTGTTTATAAGCCCCCCTCAAACCCCGTACGAAGAAATATTAACCCAGGGCTTATAATCGGCAGTTAACGGTATCATATTCTTATTACAGACCTACAGCAGGTGACGACTGCATTGGATAATCGAAGAAGAGAAGAAAGAGAATCTGTGAACCCAGTTATGCAGCAGCTAGAGGCACAGACCAAGTCATTCCAAGCCATGACAGAGAGACTATCATCAAACATAATGGCTGACTTTGAGGTCATTTTACAGAAACAGCTCAGCTCATCAATAGAAGGGTACGAAGGTTTTAGGATAATGTGTTCTGTAAAACGGGTTTGCTACCACCCGTGCTAATCGGTTACTAACTGCTCAATCCTTAATTGAACAGTTACGGACAATAAGGGTCGACTCGTCAAGTTAAACCTCTTTTAAGAATTAAAATTGTTACCCAAACGTTGAGGGCAGATTTATATAGAAGGTAGTGTTTACAATAAGTTTATTCATCTTTCTCACCTCACCTGTCATCTTGTGTCTCGTAGCCTTTACGGGCTCCATAAAGTGCTTCCTTTTTTCTGGGTTAGCTGCTATGGTCCTCGTTAGTGGGAGGACCCACCACAGCATTCCCTTGATCACGTGACTTCCCTCTGCTTCTGGTGTTTGTAATAACAGGGTTTTATGGGAGAGGCTTATCAGCCCTTTGCCCAACCCCAAGTATAGTAACTTTAGTTTTTAAGTGTAAACTCATTCTCCTTGGAAACCATCCGAATTTTTTGGGGGCAGCCGTGTTAATGTGACTGATTCTGAATATTACGTTCCTATTTACCTCAATCTGGAGGACCGCAGACGATCACACTTACTGTGGACTCTACTCTTCGACCTGTTCGACATGAGTGGCTTTTGAAATGGTGGATAGCGCTATCCACCAGATTAATCTCTGTCCTGCGGATAACGCAATTGATTTTCGTAATACTTATCCGCTGGATAGTGATTTATCCGGTGGAAAGCGCAATCAAACTGGAGCAAGGAGTCTTAAGACCCAGTCGACTTACCTCTTTGGGTCATTAGGCTGATTTAGCAACAGAACGGGAACGTCAGTTCACAACGGCTCGTGCAAATCAAACAACTGGCTTGACCAATGGCAGAGCGGCAAATTGAGCACCGGAAGTCGTGTTAAGTCCTTTCTGCGCGCCTTCCCGTCGCCAATTGACGTTCCCGTCCTGTTGCTAAATGAGCCTTTTGACTTACGCAAACCACTCCATCACGCCAAGGTGATCATCCCTTCGGATCGGAAATCAGTTTCAGACGATGATGGAATTTCTAATTTCCCATCGTAGGTTGCGCGAGGAAATATTTTCACGTCTCTTGTCAGAGGTCTTAGCTTCAGTGCAAGACTCGGTTCAAAAGGAAATGGGATTGGGCCTAGAAGGGCTCCGTCAACAGCTTAGTGAAATGATAGCTACCTCAGTGGAAAGCTCCACCCAGCAGGCTCCTGATCTGGCGCGCACCCAGGTGAGTACCGGAGAGCAACATTGTAACAGCGCAGTTCCCTCCCCCCCCACCTCCCGTTCCGTTTGCTTTAAAGCCAAAGGGAAGAAGCACAGAAGAAGCCCGGAAAAGGAGAAAAAAATTGAATTTGGGAGGGCGGAACGCGACGGCTATTTTTTGCTCATTAGAGTCCGGCTGTGCAGAAAAGAGGACGGAAAGTTCAAGCGATTTGCTAGAGCGGTAGTGACTTGCCGACACCGATCGATCCGAGAGATACGTTTATTTCGCTCAACGCACTGTTGTACAGTTAACTACAGTTAAGAGAAGAGTCCACCAGTCCTTGTTAAATGTGAGCATTGGACAATTCTCTATTATGTAGTATTTGTCAAAACACACAAAGCGAATCAGCGTGGCTTGGGATTTTTCAAGACCACCGGATATGGGAAGATAAAAATGTGAATTTGGGGAAGGGGTGGCAGCTGCTATTTTCTAGCTCGCTCTCGCTAGTCTCCCGCGCCTCTCCAGCTTGGCGAAAAGAAAAAAGGAAATGACTGTTACGCAGGCTACCCTCGACCCTCCTCTTTCCTCCCCCCGGGAGACAAAAATGGGGATATCGTGAAGACAGTTTGAGAGTTGAAGTGACTTCGTTTCTCTCTGCAGGTGTTGGTTTCACAGTTGCTGGAATCTGGACAATTGGGCCAAGCCTTCCAAGAGGTATTGGAATTACTTTCGGTTTGTTATTGAAATGTTCATGTTGTGTAATAAATGGTGTTGATGAGTATCTTCATCATCATCATCATTACCGTCGCCATAGCAATGGTTATCATTATCATTGTACCCTTCACCTGTTAGAGACCTTTAGATTCGAGGACGAGAACGGCTAAGAGTACGAGATTTGACTTAAAGTTTTTTCGCGTATTCTCAAAATATAGGCTCCCCGGAAAGCTTCAATTTTTCTTTTTTTCACCAGAAAAGTTAGCACTGTTACTTTTAGTGAAGGAGGTTACACTCCGGCTCTCCCGATTGCAGAATGATAGAACTTCTAACATTTGATAACTTGTTTTCCCCACTTCGACAATCTCGCAAAATCTCGTAGTAGAGTGACGACGGCTACCAAGTTTTCCCGCCAAAATGGCGTTGGTTCACGCGTGAGCACTACTTACTATTGAGAAAATCTTGTACTGGTTTTTGTACTCGTCTTAGAATGTAAAGGTCTCTAATTCCATCTTCACTACCATCATCATCACCATTGTCATCATAACCATCACTACCACCATCATCATAGTCACCACTACTACCCATACCATCATTGTCTTCAGCTTCCTTACCTTAACCACCACCACCGCCACCATCTCTTCGGAGTCTTCGTCATCATTATGATATCATCATCGTCATTTTTGACCACTGTACATTTTGTTGCAGGCCTTGACAGCATCAGATCTGAATATCGTCATGTACGTTTGTGAACAAGTGGATCCTGAGAGTGTGTTTTCTCAGTCACCTTGTCCTTTATCGCAGCCTGTCTTGCTGTCTTTGATACAACAGCTGTCAGTAGATCTTACCGTTAACACGGAGCTTAAACACAAGTGAGTCTTAATTGTTACAAGTTTGATGCTTACGCAAGAGGACGGCAAAACCTTTTCGTGTGACAGGGTTGTTACTTGCTTGTTTTGGTGTGATATACACTTAACGTGATTGTATTTTGGTTTTTACAAAATTTCTGTTCAGAGGAAGGAGACGTTTGGTGGAAACGTTTTTCAAACATTTTTATTGTCACGCTTGTGACACAGCGTTTACCATCTTCTTTCCTTTTCCTTCCTTGCGTCCTAATGCGTAAGTTAACAATGTTTAAGGTGTGGTAAAGCATCAAACATAAAAATAATTGTCTTTTGATTCGGCCAGAAACCAAAGGATTACGTAGCTAGATATGGTCTAAAGATGGGGTGTCAGCTAGAAGTAATGTACTGAGGTTAGACAGGCTGCGTTCTAACGAGACTGTTCAACTTTGAAAACGCGGCATACAAACTTCTGTTATGGCTTCGGAACACACGTGAACGACGAAAACGATCGTCGTTAATATATCCAGATAACTGCTTTCTTACCCACCATTAGCGGCAAATTCAAGACCTTGTGAGAGTGTTTTATTTAGTTATTTAAGTTAAGGCGACATTGGGTATTTTCATTTCAGACGGTCGGCATTCAACCAGTCAATTGTATCCTTCCCTTCTGTTCAATTGACAGGTACATAGAAGAAGCGCTCATGTCATTAGACACCACTGATGAAGTGACAAGAGAGCACATGCCCGCAGTTCTAGAAGGGCTGTGTAAACAGCTGCAGTCTGCCATCCAAGAAGCAACAGGTCCTATGCAGCGTTCTCTTAAAATGCTACAGATGGCTGCGAGATCACTGTTAAGATAACTCAACAAGCACTCAGTGTTGTGCCACGGAAGCAGAATGGACCGCCCGTGTGGTTATGTCGAGGATGTACCTCAGAACAACCAAGATGAGTTCAGGTCTGAAGAGAAGAGACTGGCCAGCAAGAGACCACATCCTGTGATGACCAATAACTAATACGAACTAATACGACTAATGTTAAAAGTTAGTAATTTTGTGTTTCGTTAGAAGATCTAAAGCAGCTAGACTTCTCAGGACTTTTTTTTGCCATGGTTTTCATGTTGTGTTAAACATACTCAAACTGTCTAACCGCGTTAAACTTAATTCAAGAAGGTTTAAGAAAGTTTATAACTGTCTACTAGCTCAGGTTCAGTTACACCACGATATACTAGGTTTTCAAGGCTGTTTTATTTTTGTAACACACTGGTAATAAAGAATGGAACTGAGCCTTAAACTCTTGAATTTCATTTTATTACTCGAACTCTCAAGGTGTGTAAGGAAGGAAGGAAGGAGTCATGAGTCGTGGAAGAGAGGACAACAAACGTGCCCTCTTTACAATATACATTAATATGTGAACAGTGAGCTCGGACTTCAGCATACAAAGGCGCCACCACCAGTCGCTTTAAGTCCATTTATGAGCTTATTGTACCCACCCAACCAATGATGTGAATGATGTGTTTGAAGTGTTTGTCGTGTCCTGGAAGCACCAGCACTAAGATGCTAGCTTATCTGTAAAGACCCTGCAATGCATTGTTGGTGACATTTTCAACGGATACGTGTGGACGGTAGGCGCAGGCCAAACCGGAGAAAAAAGTAGTTTATCGTTAACAAAAAGTTCCGGAAAATCCGGTTGGAAGAGTAAATGGAAAACGACGTTGGGTCGTTGCAGAGGAAAATTTCCAGGAGCACCGGATCATCTGAAAAGGTAGTACTGTTTTTCCGGTGGAACGTTCCAAACGGAAATTCGTGTTTCATTTCAATACCCCACGCTCAAACGTGACTCCGAGGCTTCAGACCTTCGCGTCCGTTTTTTGGTAAATGGAATTGATTTATGCAAATGGTAAACGCGATTCGGGGACGAAAATTACCAGTCCTGAATTTTGCGTACCATTTGCCTAAACCGTGACCCGACCGGTTTTCCCATGTAAATAGTAAACAACCGATTTCTCCGTTTTTCAAACAAATACGAATACGTGTTGACGGGGCCTAAATCTATTGCTGTTATTTTGAAGTTTTCGTTGCCGTCGTCGTTTTAAGCTCCCTAAGATCAGCCTCTTATTGTCGTTTTGACTAAACGCTACACAACCAACTTTCTGCCATCTTTGTTTAATGCCGTTTCAAAAATACATTTAATAACTTATACTTTCTTTAATATATTAAAAAGGTTCTACATCATCCGGAGAATTGACAGTGAAACAATCGATAAGACGATCACTGCGCTTTATAATCAAAAGGCCGTTTCGCTTCCGTGTACAAAGAGTTTCTTGGTAAGCTACTTCCAACATTTCAAGTTTAAGAGTAAATTTCTATCGTATATTATACATTTAGACTGTTTCCAGTCCTCTATTTGGGTTTCCTTGTCTAAAGGAACAGTCTATTCAAAGAAATTATGTAGTGCAAGTTGTTTTGAAATACAGTTTATCACGAGAGCATGAAATAAGTAACTGAAGAGCTAATCGAAAAACGGTGACAATTTTGCAGTGATATCAAGAATAACTTTTTCGCATCACATAATAAAAATAGAAAACGTCACTCGCACCATTTTGCTACTCAACCCTTCAAAAATAATCCCTGAATGTTACTGAGAATGAAATGACATTACTTTCCTATTTAAAGTAGAATAAATTAAGTGAAAATCTGACATTCCCTCACGTTATTCACGTTATATGGAAAGTGGTTACCTATTAACCAACTAAAGTTACAAAAACTTTATGTTTGAGTTTTTCGAATGGATGAGTTCAGAGGTCAACGTGTTTTTTAACATTTCGTTTTAAAACCTCAGCAACTTTCTCTTCAAACGTCTCTTTCGCACGAACCCAAACTGGATGAGAATCCACCTAAAAAACGACAAAAAAGGAAAAAGACAATCACAAATAGTTAGCAAAAAAATAAATACTTTTTGTCTAAAAAGCACTCAGGCGAATTTAAAGGGCTTGAACACTTGACTACCTACGAGTTGCCAAAGTAATTTTTAATAAAAACTTGCTCAATGAAATAGGCTTTTATCACAGGAATTAGCCTCTATATTTAATGACTGATTTCAGCACCACATGTAAAAGAAAACTCAGAGAAGTTTTCTATGGAACTATAATGGAGTTTTATTTTCTAAATATTAAGTGAAGATAGGTTATGGCATAAACCTTCTAGAAATAACCACAGGATGGGCTAGAAATGGTTGATTACTATTTAGAAAAAGTTTGCGGAAAATCTGATTGGAAAGTGAATGGATCACACCTTTTTGGGTCATACCGGCGGAACTCCGGGAGCAGCGGAACATCAGGAAAGGTTTTTCCATATGGAATGTTGCTCACGGAAATTCGAGTCCTATCGTTTGATACTAATTTCAAGCCTTCGCAGCCGTTTTTCGATACATGGAACTGATTTGTACAGATGGTAAACGCAATTCCGGGACAAAATTTACCAGTCCTGAATTTTACTTACCATTTACACAAAACGTGAACCGACCAGTTTGACAAGTAAATGGTAAACAACAAATAATCTTTTCAACGCACTACCCAACTTTACAGCGAGACAGCTCAAGGCACTGCCTAAAAGATTGTTTTACTCACTATAATTCAGTTTTTACGAATCAAACACAAAATACAGTTAGGATATTTTTTCTAGATAACTACCTCAGGAAGTTTTAAAAGATATGGTGTTATGCTGTCAGCAAAAAGAACTGTGCTTTCTCTTGGCAACAGAGAGGGTAAGTTATCAATGGCCACAAGGTCCAAAGGTTTGGTACAATTGCTGTAAGAAATAATAGATAGAACTTAGTGTCATGGTGATTTAAAATGGAGACGAGAATAAGAACTACTTGTTACTTAAAAAACCCTGTAATACCTTTGGTAAGACCCTGGGGGGAGGGGGCACTCCGTTATTTGACGTAGACGGATATGTGCTGTTGAACTGAGTACGGTTTTAAGGGTCTTGAATCTTAAACAGGGTATACAATTTCACTCTTCAGCATCTTTAATAGGATGGGTTTTTGAACCCAATGCCTTTAAAGGAGTGTTAAAAAGGCTGCAGACGAGCGGTCTACATTTGTGGCACCAACAATAAAAAATTAAAAAAATTCTTTTTCCCAAAAAATTTAGTTCCATGAAATTACCTAATTCTGTATGCAAAACGAAACGAGTCATGGTCATAAAATAGAGTCTTTCGTCTTAAACAGGGTAGCAAAATGAGTAATTTTTGTCTTCAACAGGATTAGGTTTCAAAGGCCTTGGTGGCTGACACCTCTACACAAACTTCCCTTGAGTGGCTTCTCCCTCCCCCAACCCCCTGAGATATTAAGCACAAAGGTGCGTGGTTTCAGACATTAGAAAAAGAAATTCAAAGCTATGCGGGAAATTGTTAGAATGACTTTATGAAATGAGAGTAAAGTTTAAAGAAAACTATCATCTTCCAGGGTGGTTGGAAACACCAAGAAGAATTGTGTAACAAATGTGCTACATTTACTTTTACAACTGTACATTCTTTACAAAAAAAAAGACAAACTGTTGCATGCCAACCTGAGTTGTAGCCGCCTGCTGGGATTTTGAAACGTGGTAATGGAATCCAAGAATGGCAGAGGATTGTTTGGGTTGCTGACATCACAACTAACATCAACCACTACAGAGAGATTCCTGCAGTGAGAAATAGTGCAGTTTTAAAGGGACATTTTGAAAGAATATTTTTTGTTTGTTGTTATATTCTTATTTCTCCATGTAACAGAAGTACTTACTTATATAAAGTATAAGAAATTAATTGCAAAGATTCCAGATTGCCATACACAATGTAAGACTAAAATGCAACTATGAAAGAGTCGATTTAAGACTATTCCATAAGAGGAAAATTACATGTAACTGAACATCCGTGGCCGTTCTCAAAATTAACACTTTTGTTAGCTGTGAGTTTGTTCATCTTTGAAAAGAACTGACTTGGAAAAATTAGTTGATGAAAAGGTGTGGAGCAGAAATCAAGAAATAGTGAACACACAAATATCAGTCAACGATACAAAATGGAAAAATATAATGTGAAATTAAAAGGCTGGAAATATTATGATCACAATTACTGGTAACAGGAACAGGCAAAGTATGAATACATCCCAGTAAAAACCATTGCAATTTTACTTGAGCTTTGTGGAGAAATTAGTCTGCTACACAGCCGCTTTTAGTGTCGTCACGCAACACTCCTCCCCACTAACGGCTGCTGAAAACCGAACTACATTCCTTTCCCTTTGTGTTTGTGGTCTAACAAACAAACCAATCATGTACAAGAAATTTGACAATACGTGAGCCGCAGGGTGCTAGGAAGCAAGCACGCTTCTCAGTTTTCGACAAATCAATCAATTATCGCTGAATTTAGACGGGCTCTGTGTTTTCAAGCAACGAAAAGGTTAATTTGCAAAAAAGTTTGTTTTAAGCGGTCAACAAAGTTCCAAGTGAAAAAAAGGTTTGATAGGCCTAGAAGACTTTTACCAGGATTGGTTGGTTCTTCATTTAACGTGCATATATACTGATATGCAATGAAGAATTTAATGTACCAGATGTGCTCATTGTGTTCCTGTGAAGACTAAACTCTCAAGGGTACTGAGTCAAAAAGCAATCTTATAAATTATCGATGAGCAATTTCCCGAAACTATACCTGGCAACTTTATGAGCACATCCATGTTGTGAATCGCAATTTGCTCGACTTGCTTGCTGTTGCTGCTTATCTCCTAAATTTTGAATAGGACTTGACTACGACAACACTGTAGTAAATTGCTTGTTTTCACGCGACGATTTTGATTATTCTGTCATTCACACATGGGGCAACGATAAAAGCAAAGCTGTGATTGGAGGAGTCACAGTACCGCAAAGGTGGCATGAACACCTTCCAGAAAATGGGAGCTAAATTATAATTGGCTAATCATGGGAAAGGAATGTAGTTTGGTTTCAGCAACCGTTAGTGGGGAGGAGTGTTGCATGACGAAACTAAAAACGGCTGTGTAGCAGACTATGGAGAAATAAGACTAGTACTGCTAGCACTTTTTTTACCATAATTCTTTCATTTTTGAGAGTGAATGTGATAAGAAACTTCTGTGAGTGAGGTTATTTTTTTTGCACAAGCTGTCTGTGCTGTTATTCACCTCTGATCAGTGTCCAGCACCTTCCTTGTGAGAAATGGAGGAATTTTCTGCAAAGCAATTTTCTGATCAAGCACATGAACGTATACCCTACATAAAATTAACTGTAGCTGGGATTAAAATTTCTAGTATACATGTATGGTCTCCAGGAGATTAGAGGCCTTCTATTTGCAAGTCTTTGAATATGATCAGGTCCTCCATAAAAATCCTGGAACCAACGGAATTAAATCTCACGCTTTTGACTCAAAAAAAGTTAGAAGTTAAATCTAAATAATTATGCCTTTTTTAGATCCAGGGGTTCTAGCCCTCTTACCCTGCCCTTCCTTCCTTAATTCCTGCCATTAATGACAATACCATATCATAGATGGGTATAATTTTTTTTCACCAATTTCAAGGCTTTGAAACAGAAATTGCACCACAGAATAGCCACATACACCATGCGTCTGATAGTTTCTAAAAAAAGGCTTGCAAAGCATCTTGACTCTTAACAATAGAAAAGTGATAAAGAAAAAGTGTCGCTTGCGGTAACCTCATTTTAAGAAAATTAGGGGCAAGGGTGGGGGTGGGGGTGGGGGTACCATTTGCTAGCTTAGCTGGAGAAGAGTTGGCTTATTTGGGAACTGCGGGAACTTATTCAAGGAAATGCGATACTCTGACTCAGGTCCAACTACATTATTGAACCTGTGTAAAGCTTAAAGGCTGGAGATCGGAACAAAGTGGATTTAATAAAATTTAAGAAAAGTTTAATGTTATAATGTATGCGTCAAAATCTGACTAACATAAGTTCTTATCAAGCATGAGCCACATAATAATTATATTGTTAAGACAAATATTAGTTTAACTTTTCCTTAACTTGGGTGACAACATTCAGCTCATGGGTACTGGAAGGTGCATAACTGGATGTGAAAGATTCATTTAATATGATTGTAATACCCACAAAAATCAGAAATATAGCTTTTTGTATAAATTTAAATTGATCAATTTTACTGTACCTTTGTTAACTTGATGTTGTTGACAAAAATGTCATACTGTACAATTTCCTCAAATGGTCCCCCGGCTTTTGTTTCATTAATGTCCCATTTTGCAATGTGCGTGCTGTCAAAAATTATATATAATATTTCAATAATGAGGGCAAAACAGTTTCTGCCACTAAGACCCATCAGGGTTTTCATTAAGAATGCTAGTAGCAGGAGAAAGGTGTAACCTTACAGGAGGATATTGTGAAAGAAGCACCATGTCTGAACAAAAAATAGTCACGGGCTATCACACACTAGCTGGAGAAGTATGTGTAGTAAACGGTGAATTCTTCGATCTCCAGTGCCTAATTAATGCCCTGAACCCATACTGTAATAGCCCACGTTCGATATACTAAAATCTTAACAAGAATATGAGGCTTTAGGGTTAAAATTGCAAATTTTTCATGACTCCATTGTCTTGCAATTCCCAGAAGAGACTTGAGCACAAAGAAAACCAAGCCAAATGTAGAAAAATGACCAGAGAGCCTCGGAGTCATGTTAGAATTTTAATATACTGAATGTGGGCTATTCATTACTGGAGACATTCCTGTCTACCTTGGTATTCCTACTTTGTAAGCCATATCCAATGCTCCTTTACCACAGCGTCCTAATGCACCTATAACTACTATGCGAGGGTGGCAATCTGGAAGACCTTGGAAAAACAAAGAGAGATAAGTGCACTTTCACGCACATTATAATAATATAATATATACTGTACAAATTATCACTCTAAATTAGTTGTAAACCTCTCATTGGCTACACATTAAAGTCAAAACATTTTCAATCACATACTTATAAACATTAATGATTAATAAAATATAAAGAAACAAAGAGTAGTGGTTCTTTGTCTACCGCTCCTAGTCGAATTGGAATTTGGAAATGTTGATGTTTAAGGAGGGGACTAAACTGGAGTGCCTGGAGAAAAACCTCTCAGAGTATTACGGGGAGAACCAACAACAAACTCAACCCCCATATGGTGTCAATACTGGGATCTGAACCCGGGTAACACATTGCCGGGAGGCGAATGCCCTCACTGCTGACTGCCACCCTAGCTTCCCTAATGATTGAGAAAAAAGGCACAGGCTGGAACAGGTCAAAATGACTACATTACATCACAGCTGTATGTGAATAATAAAATATTAGGCATTTCGTTTTACAAGCTGGACCTGGATTTTAAGATAAACAATGTTTGCTTTCAAGTCGGCTGTGAAGTGGTTAATTACTGTCAGATCAGAGATAAACATTCATATTGTGGACAGATTATTGGAAAGATTATGCCAACACAGATGCCATCTTTTTCAATTTATCACTTTCTCAAAGTTGTAATTTTTGTTGTATGACTATTTTAACTGCAGTTATTCAGGGTAGTTACTTATTTTTGATATATAGGTGGGGATATAGTAAAAGTAGCTCTTACAGGTCAAAATTTGATGCTTCCAAGCCCTAATTAGTCATGAATTAGGATTGGGGCAAGCACACAAAGGAAAATGAGCAACCTTGGTTTAAAAATCTTATTAACCCGGATTTAATTTTGACCTGTAACATGGCTACATCAATCATTATTCATATTAATGAGTTACTAAGATACCTTTTGCCTTGGCAACATTTTGAAGCATCATCTTCACATCATTTACCAATACTTTTTCATTATCATAAGGCTCTAAAGATGGCATTGAACTGTGAGGGCTGAAAAGCACAATGAAAAGTCCATAAATTTCAATCACTAATTCACCAAAGAAAGCTGGAGCTTCTTTACAGATCACATTCAACATTGTCATGTAAATAGAACTGAACAATGTTTAGGGGGTTTAGGGTTTTAAGCATTGCAAAACATCCAACACAGGGTTTAGGTTGAATATGTTTTCTTATACAGCTCTTCCAAACTCAGTGTGATTGGATGGGGGACGGAGGGGAGAGGAAATAAGAATAGGTTGATACATGCCTTAATTGTTGAAGGCACCATGCTTTGAGACCAACAGCCATTCCTGAAAAACCAGCCAGATGAGGAAATGTTGCAACTAGTCGTCTATCTGAAGGGAAACAGTCATGACACACAAAAATATTAACTGCCATCAAACCAGCACTACATTTTCTAAATTAAATATTAAAGTCAGGCTGCTCTGGACTTACAATGTATCTGCAAAACTGTGACACAGTAATTCTAAAGTTAAATTTTATATCATTAATGTTGATTGTGGTCATTTATCTTCCAGTTTCTTCCTTGACAATAATTATTCTCTTCTACATTGTTTCTGTTATCAGGCGTTTACTTAAAACTTTTTTAGTACAAGAAGAGGCTTTCCCGGAGAAAAGGTTTCTTGGAAAAATTCTTAAAAACATGGAATATTCTCTAAAAGAAGTACCAGACAACAAATTACTTTTAACAGTTACCTTCGTACATATTTTTGCCTGTCTACCAGGGTTGTCAAAAATGCTTTGATCATGTATCAAATTCTCTCAACTGACTCTCCGTCTGGAAAATTTATACATGGATAGTGGCACTTAATGGGTTAAGAGAGAATGATAATACAGGGTCCGAAATTGCGCCTTCCTGGTCGCCAATGCGACTAAAAATTTAGTCCTGGCGACCAGAATTTAATAGCCGGTCGTCAGCTAGCGACTTGTAAAGTTAGTTGTTATTGTGGACTTTAAGGTTCGGAGAAACTGATTAAGAATTGAAACCTCGAAGCTATTTGCCAACAGGCGTCATACTTTTTGTCCTGGAGATATTTTTTAACTAAAAGTGAAACGAATCGTCCTGTAATAATCGGAATAATACCTCCACAACAGCTACGATCAATACGAGTTGAACGTTTCCAAGCCGCTATGTTGTTTTCAGCTGAAATACGGTAAGTACGTTATGTACTTTGTGGACTGGTACAAGTAATGTGGCACAGTTGTGGCCTGGTACTGTCACAGTGATAATGTTTCATGTTTCGTGGTAGTTATCGGAAGAAAATAGAGTTTTGATATGATCAGTGCAGTTATGGGCAGACAGCTTTCTGTTCCTACCTTCTAGGTCAGACAGCTTTATATCTCCAAAAGGTAATTTGTGGAAAAAATAAGACTTCAATCGTACACGTACGGTTGCTTTCTGGTATTGGGAGCAAAAGTAGTGCAATTTTTGAGCATAAAAACGTCCATACCATGCATTTTTTATTCGTGTTTAAATTTTTATTTGAAAAATAGGGAGGGGAAATTTTTGGCGACCACAATCTGCTCTTTGGCGACCAAAAATTTATACTTGATCGCCAGTTGGCGGCCGTATTAAAAAGTTAATATCGGACCCTGTAATATTATATTTTGTCACTTACTACTGTCATCTGTCATGTACTCCACATCAAGAATCTTTCCACCGCCCTTAATAAATCGATTAAGTAAATCAACCCAGCCATCCTGATTCTAAAAAAAAAGCAAAGATAAACCCACTAAACCCACTACAGAATAAATTGAGATTATCCTCAGATAAATACAGCTTTTGCTTAATAAAACTTGATATCAGGTTTAGGGCCTCCTTATTTTTTCTGAACCTTCTCCAACAAACAAATTATTCCCCTAAAATGTATCAGAAAAATTTCATCAATTATAATTGCATAACAAATATGTTTTGATATTTTTATTAGTCAATAATATATTTTTAAATAATATATATTTAATCAACCAAACAATTTCAACAATTTTGTTGTGGGACTCAAGGTTTTCAATCAATAACTGATTATAATCAATGACCATAACACCACTGGAAGGGGTTCCAATGTAAAGCTAGTGCTACTTTGATCAAGCATTCAAGGTACACTGTATACTTACTTTATAAGCATGGGCAAAGTAAATGTGTGTTTGTGGAATTGAAGAATCAGATTCAGCAAGTTCTTTGATTCCAAGGATAAATGTATCTTTGGGAGCATAAACCCAAGATCCTTCAGGAGCCATACTCACTCCATTGATCCTGTCACAAAATGATAAGTTCAATGAAACTTGTGGGCACCCTTGTGAAGTGCTTGTTTTCAGTCTTTGGTAATAGTTGACCAGATGATTGTACTTTTGAGCATTTTCATTTTCAAAATTCATTTTTTCCCTGATTGTCTTAGGGCGAAGAATGGGCATTCATCATTTTTCGCATTCTTACTGCCAAGTATTGCTAAAAAATTGATTACGCATTGTTGTTGTTCATGTTGTGAATGTGCAATGTATCTGCAAGGATGTTGAGAACTTTGCCCCGTTCACTAGGGTTTTCAGATCAACGAAAACTACACTAATCAGTCAGTAGAGTCGATTGTATTTAATCACTTGGCTCACTTGTATTCACTCGTTACAGCAGTTGTGCAAGAGCTGCTCTCAAAAACATGAAAAAGAACGCTTGATTTCATAATAGTATACATTAGATATGATTGGTTGTTACTAGGCAATAATCAGAAAAAGGTCAATCAATTCTTGCAGCTAAAGTGTTCATTGTCTCATAAAATCCAGACCTAATTTAAACATCTGTGTCACTATACTGTCACGTAACGTGAAGTCTCCGACAAGGAGAACGAATGCATTTTGTAATAAGTAGTAATAAGTCAAATCCTTTTTTGCTACTTATGTATGCACTAGTGGCAATGAAGTAAATTAAGGTAACAGGATGAAAGAAAATGGGGTTTTAGAATGGTAAATACAGTAGAACTCCGGTAACTCGATTGCGAGATATTAGGGTTCCACTGTCAGTATATAAATTCACTCTTTCTTGGTTTGGGTCAAGTGACACTAAAATTATTTACCTTGCATACTCTTCATCTTTGAAAATTCTATCCTTTGAATTTTCAACTGTGATTTGAAACCCTAAAATATGACAAAACAAAAACAAATACACGTGAAATAGTTTTCTTTTTAATACACAGTCATATGACAAGTAAAATGAAAATTAGCAGGTTTTACAAAAAACCAACTTATGGTCAATGATATTTCGTTTAAAAGTGTGAATCATTTTTAAATCGTGTTGTTCTTATATCAATTAAAAAGGTCAAGAGAAGGTCAACCATGGCCTCACATTAACTCACATGAAATGGTCTACTGCAATTGTTTAATCTCTCCTACTGGGTACATCTACATACCAAACGAGTGCAAGTTGTTTTAAAAAAATCACATGAAGAATAAAAGTTATCAGCATTAATAAAATTCAGTGTTATTCACATGTAGTTGTAATAACTCTGTCAGTTATGTATTAGTACTCTTGCCCTACTGATTTTGATGAGGCTAGATGGCACATCAGGCCAAAATGGCCTCACACAAGAAATAAACTGCTTTTAATACCCTTATGGGTGCTACGTGTGCGTACATGTTCGGGTGTCGATATTTCGTCACTACATAAACACAGCGAGAGTACAGTGACAAGGAGCCATATTTAATAATGCATATGCATCGTTACACAACAACGTTCCTTTATTTTCGCCAGAAAGGCAATGTTCCTTTTCTTATTCCGAGGAATTGCAATAGTGCCTTTCGCTCGTCTGGAACTGCAGTTTAATTGGAGATTGATCACATAATTTATCATGCACAGCCAAGTCTCTTAAACAACTCTCCTTCCTACACCTTTAACAGTGAATATATACACATCACTCTTCCAAATCGCAATTGCATTTATAATAAATGATTCATTCAATGTATGTATCGTGTCTTACCAGCTGAAACAAGCTCTTTACACTTAGCTGGAGTCAGGGCGGTCCGGTGTTCGCTCATCTTGGGTTCAGATCGTAACCACAAGTGAACAGCCATTATTGATCGTCTTTATGGACAACAATTTAAAAGGATTAGTAGATAATACACTGGAAATAATGATCAACTTCAAAATTACCGACAAAAGGAAGAAATAAACGACAAAACGCCATCAGTCTGGCGCTCAGATCAGACGCGACTAAAGAGATGATGAAATCAACAAGGCAACGACTGTTGTGGACTGGAAACTAGCAATCTATGTGGTGCCATTCTGCTATTCATGTATGCTCTCTAGTTATGTCTACGTCTTTTTTTCTCGGAAAACTCAGTTTTCTCTTTCAAACTGGTTTCACTTATCTGAATTTAAAACAATCTCTGAGGTGCCTTGAATGTACTACAAATGAATTATAAGCGGCGCTGTGAAATGCTTTGTAATTTTTAAGAAACTACTTGTAAGTTTATTGATTTGTTAAACTTCTTTTACACTATTGTTTATTTTTTTATTGGTGTCTGTTACCGCAAGAGACTCCTCATGGCCAGGAAAAACATGTCAGCCAACTGTCAGTCGACTGACCGACAAAAATACCTAAAAAAAATTAGACAAGAACAGGACCTAATTTTGTACTGAAGTTTTGGCAAAAAAAGTTTCAAAATGCTTTCGACATCTGTCATACAAACTTTCAACTGTACTATAATAAGATTGACGAGTACATGTTTCCCCGTAATTCGGGACAATATTCGTGAACATAGAAAAATGATGGTGAATTTTAAGCCTGTTGAACATATGAGAAAGATGTTTATTTTCAGTCAGGGTCACTTGAACCTAGTTTTGTTAGCCTGAGTAGCATGGCGGTTTTGGTTGGGCGCGCAAAGGCGAGCAAGGGCAGAGGAACTGGGAGGCGTTCGCGAGCGTTTTTGCGGCTTCACCGCTCAGTAGTGCTCCCGACAAAACCGCCATGCTACGCAGCTACGTTTTGTAGCCTGCAGCAGGCGCTTGGGAGTAACTAGTCCAACCGCCTGTTACGCAGGCTACATAGGGGGCGGGAAACGAATTTCATAGGCGTTTCGCGACTAAGGGCAGGCGCTCCCTCTTCCCTCGCGTGTTTCTCTCGCGCGTCCCGTTCTTTTCTGAGCCCATTACTTCCAACGCAGGCTACTAGTTTTATGGCCTTCGCTCCCACGACTCTCCTGTAGCTTAGTACTAGTAGCCAGAATGTCATAGGTTCGACTCCTATTGGGAATACTAGGATTTTTTTTCCTTCCCTCTTGTGTCACTGACTGAGTCGAACCAGGAGCCCATTATGGGCTCCTGGTCGAACATCTTTTTCATATATTGGTGGACTATGTACATTTAAAATAACTGCTATGTTCACACTATACCGTATTTATTGCTGTAAATGCACCGTCTTTTAAATGACTAAATCACAAAACCAGAACGTTTCCTCGACGTTTTCTCAGCCATAAAATGCGCCTCTTAGCTCTATTGGGAATTTTGCAAACTGAGTTGACAGATTTCCCTACCCTATACTTCAACTAGTGAAATTCCAAGGTACTCCTTTCGTTTAGAGCCCCCCCGTATAGGCCATTATAGGAAGTACGCCGCGGGGCTCCGTTACAGAAATCACCGTTCTTGTGTGTGAGCGAAGTCCTTCCCGGTATAGTTTTCGTGCCGACGCTAAAGCCATCCGGTACAGTGTAAACATCGCCTTAAATGCGTTCTAATAAATGCATTGCGATCCACATATTAGCACATGTTGTTTGCCATGCAATTCCTATGTTTGTTTCGCTGTTTTGCAGAAAACCGTTGTCCGCGTTTAGAGCTTTCGACTTACCTCACAGGTCACTTTGATCCAAGCCATCGCCAATCTTGCGTTACTTTGAATAATTAGGATTTCATGATGGTGAATCGAGGTGAAACGATTGTTTCTGTAGCCAGCCTATGAATGTGAAAGGATTTAAATAAAAATAGGCTAACCTCACTTAAGTTGTGTGATTCATTGTTCTTTCCCGTGAGGTTCCCGCGTCGATTTACGGCCATTTTATGCATTTTAGTTCAGCTGGTTTGTTCTCTCTATAATCCTTTCTTTGTAGACATAACAATAAGATGCATAAAATGGCCTTTGATGTCCCTTGTGCATCTTAAACGTTCTAACATAGTCAGACTAGAGTAAAATGCTGTGAGACGGGGTCTAAGATTTTTCTTCCTTATCACAGAAAGTTTAGCCACTTGCAAATGACAGAGTAAAGGAAGCACGTTCTCTTCAGTTATTTTGAAACCCCGAGTGTTGGTCGAGCGGTGAATAAAACGCTCCACAGTCTCAGTCAACCAACTCCGTAAACTAGGCGGGGTTTCATTGACAAAAAGTAACGCGTAGGCTTCTTTCTCTCCATTTTCAACCCCACAGCTCTACTAATTTGCATGCAGATTGAAGGCTGGGGGCTAAACCTTTAATTCTGGGTCCCAGTTAGTGATCTAATGTGTAAATCATATGAAAACACCAGTGTTGACGTCAAATATTTTATTGTCTCTACCATTTTAATTTTCGCAAGCCAGCTGCGTCTGATCTTCTTCTGATGCATATGTTCCAGTTAACGAAGATAGCATTGCCTTATCTGTTGTTTTTCTTATTTTTTAAGAAAAGCCTCGGCTTCTGCCGATTTTAGGTCAAACATTTTCTTGGCATTCACCCACACGGGATAAGAATCAACCTGTGAAAAGCAAAGCAACAAAATCATTCCTAAGAACTTACAAGATGACTGGCTCATATCACGGACCCGTTCTTCTCACTGCCGTACTACTAAAACAAAAAGCACTTCGGCACGCTAGATCCTGCCCGCTACGCAGAGTGACCCCACACAATACACGTACCCGAGAAGCTTCTCAGGCTCAGCGGTTTTAAAGGCTCTTTCAATGCCAGCGATAACCTTCCCGAGTTATGACCCCCTGGTGTGGACCTATTCTCTGACGTCTATATCCTGTCCGCAACTTACCTGCCGGCGTTTAGGCACATTTAAACTAGACCAATTCATTAGTCACCTTTTACCTACTTCCCTTGCAATAATTTAAACGTCATCCAGCCTATAAGCCAAGCTAAGCCGCGCGCAAAACGTGATATTTGTTTGCTTGCGAGCTCGTGCAAGAGAACAGAAAAGCCCCAAAACATAAAATTAAGAATTTGTTCATGCTTAGCGTGCGTATATCGAGTTATGGATGCACGCGGGAAGTTTGGAGAGCACGAAAGATGCGTAAGAGTTGCACGAGGCGATAGCCGAGTGCAACTCTAGCTTCTTGAGTGCTCTCCAAACTTCCCAAGTGCATCCATAACTCGATATACGCACAGCTAAAAGCATGAGCAAATTCTTTTATAACAGAGCTGACAAAAATGCTTGCCTTTTGATTAACTGCAAAATTCTCGTAACGCGCGACACAATAACAAACGGTTCTATTGGCTGATTACGAACAGGCCACAATCGTCTACTTTGAATGAAAATATTCTTTCTGTAACAGTGAGAAAGAAAATTTGCTTCTTTATTCGTTAACGATCAATGGAAACTAAGCAGAAACAAAGGAAAAAGAGTCTTAAAGTTCACCTAAAGTTGAAATCCTTCTTGACATGTTCGTGAGAAGTCGTGGAGTATGGTTTGGATTTGCTAAAAAGATGTTTACGTTTCGCTCGGCGAAATCCAGAAAACATGTTTTTAGCGAAGACGACTGTCATCCTTGTTTAAACTTATATTCATTTACGAACATTGGCTAGTCATTACGGCTTCTTGAGAAGACTTGGCAGCAGTTGTTTTTGTGAGTAATAAATTTATGTCTTCTTGTGTAATTTGTGTTGTTATTGCGAGGGAAATTTTCCTGCTTCAGTCGGATTGTCCGGAGATAACAAAGTGCATAACAAATTTAAAAACAACAATAAAAACGGAAATTTTGCCTTTAAATGTTGGATGACCAGTTGGTGTCTGTTCTGTTCCCAGTGAATGTCTTTCGGCCAAAATTTGCAGCAGCTGGTCTTCGACAAATTTGCAAAACGCGCAACTTGCGATTTTTTTTTAAATTCGGCTTTCTTTTTGCTGCTTGTTGGATCAGGACCTAAAAGGTCAATGCCGATAGAAAAATTGAGCAGTTTTTCGATGGTTTCTTCCATATTTTAAAGACAAGGAAAAGTGTACTGCAGCTTAAAAGACGACAACTTTGCAGCCAGGTAAAAAAAAAAAATGCTCACGTCATCTTATTTACGCACGGGCGTGCGTAAATAAAGATTTTGTTCATAGCGGCTCAATAGGACTTACATAGGGCAAGCACGCGCGCTATGTTATAAGTTCTCTTGGCTCATTTGATTATGAATGTTTTACTTTCCACTCATAATCAAAGCCGGGAAATAAGGAGAAACCCCTTTTGGTGTATTTTAACATAGTCTAAGCACAGCTGAGTTAATTTGAGCAAATGTGGAGTAGAGTCATCTGCAAATCTTGTGCTGCTTTCTCTCGGCAATAAGGAGGGAAAATGATCAATGGCAACAACAACTAAGGGTTTGTTGATGACTTGCTAAAAGTACAAAGCAAGACAACATAACGGTTAGTTTTTTGCGATTTTTTTCTTTAAGTTACCCGTTACGGTAGTTTTACCAAATTGAATTCAAACCCTTAAAAATCAGCTGAAAAATAGCAACAACTCTCGTAAACTAGTTTGAAAAGTCGCGGTTATTAAATTACAACCCAAATCCTGACAAAGTTGCTACCCATCGCCAATTGAAAGACCACTTTCCCAACCTCGTCCCCAGGGCGCTATACCCTGGCGCCTCACCTCCAAGGCCAGGGAAAAGCGCCCTGGATACGACGTTGCATTTTCCCCTCCCTTCTTGCAATGTTGTTTATAGTAACACAGTTTTACAGGAAGTAACATCCATCAAGGATTCTTACAAGAAGAAAGCAAAGATGACAACGGAGGTTCTTAACTCAATGCAAAATGTTAAGTGTAACGAGGTGGCAGGTGCAATGTATGCGTTTCCGAGGATAACACTTCCAAAGAAAGCCATCGAGGCAGCCAAGGTATCATGTCCTGTTTCCGGCCCTGATTTCTGGAGCCACACTCCAGAATACTTTCAGTAATGGATATCCTAGGTATACGGCAATCCAGATTCCGGAACCCGGGAATTTTTTTCTTGTAGACTGATCCGCTGAATCAGTTCAGGGGTTTGAAATTCGGAATTCAGACCTGGTTGTTCAAACGATGGATAGCCTTATCCACGGGATAAATCACTATCAAGTAGATAGGTATTTTAGGTATAGGGATTTATCCGGTGGATAGCGTTATCCACCCTTTTAACAGTTGGGGCCTGCTCTATATATGAAGTCCGGAATCTCGCTAACGATTGGAATCTGGAATCCACGCTTTATGGACAAGGAATTCTGAATCCAGTACCCGCCATCCGGGATCTACAGCATAAAAGCCGCAATCCACAACGTGCGATCCAGAGTCCAAGATTCCCGTCGATGCACCTTATATTAGAAGAATGCCATCCCGTTTCCCGCCGTGTCAGTTTTCATAAAAGGCGTTATTCGGTTAGAAAAAGTGAAAAGGTCGCTATATGCTCCCATCTTAATCAGGCTGCTGACAATGTCCTGCGAAAGTTAAAATTTCACTTTCTCAACTTTCCATATTGCATTGCTAAATTCCATATGTCGTATTGATCTAGTAACAGCTCCCAGTAAAGGCTTTATCGAGGGATTCTTTGAAATACAGATATTCCCCTCACAATGTGGTCTGTTTGGTGAGCGAAGTGAAAGGATTTTGGGTGGACAAAAGTAATGTGTAGATATTTTTTGAGTTTACTGAGTTGTTTGTATTCTCATTATTATTTAGGCCAAGAAAATTCCACCGGACGAGTTTTACTGTTGGCAGGCGCTGGAGAAGACTGGAATTTACATGATTCCTGGCCACGTTTTTGATATGAAAGGCAGCGGTAACAACTTTTACTACAGGTAAGATTTGAATTAACAAGGGCCATCGACTTCAGGTCGGAATTTTGATGATTTTAAAAACCTCTCTGTGATATCATTTGCGCCCTTGTGCCACAAGATTTTCACGGGCTTGTCTAATATATTTAGATTGATTAGACTGACTACACCTTTAAATTGGAAAAGACCCCTCTTTCCCCGCAACCCCGAAAAATTCTGCCTTTGTACCACAGGAATACCAAATTAGGATGCGTTCTGACGAACGCAATAAGGGTATACGTATACACAGATCGGCCCATAGCCGGGCTGATGGGGGCTTAGTGGAGGCCCTGCAACTGGGATAAAGTTGGTGTTCACAAATAGAAGGGCTTACAACCGGGATTATACAGTATTGACCAGAGCTTAAACTTACGTGGGAAAAGGCGTCCTAAAAAAGACTTGTCTGTAAAAGCGACGTTCTGTCAGCGTGTGAAAGTCTATTGCGATTGGACCAAGTTTATCTCCACATTATGGGTTAAAATAATCCAAAACGTTTTGATTTTTCAGACCCACTATCCATACGAAGGAAATAACTTAAAACGGTTTCATGTTTTAATCTTTCTTGATAGGATCACTATTCTTCCTTCTGAAGAGACGTTCGCTCCAATGTTTGAGCGACTAAGAACCTTTCACCAAGAATTCATGGCGCAGTTTAAGGACACGAACTGACAAGATGGATTTACTGGATTTAGTTTAAAGTGTTGACAATATTCAATCCAGACTATTTGATATGTCTCCATCCTCATTTATCAGGGGAAAGTTTTCTGATGTAAAACATATGTTTGAAGAAGCAAAACTCTAACTTGTTTACAAATTTCTATTTCTCGAGAAAGGCTAAATAGTTTTGATGACTCTTCATTCATCTGTGATTTTCAAAGTTTTTCAATTGACTTCCCTTCCCAGATTTGGCTAAAAATTATCTCTCAAAAAATACCCGGAAATGTTCAACAATAGTGGCAGAAAGAGTCTTGAATGTATCTGGCAAGCTGTATACAAATGTCCTTAACCACACAACGAAGAAAAACAACATTCTTATAATCCTCTCCTAAAATTGGCGTGAAAAAAAAAAGACACTTTTAACAATCTTCTGACTTTTCCCATCTGAAGGACACTGAAGTGTACTTTTTCCATTTCAGCGTTTTTCCGGCCCATTCCTTGTGATATTCCAGACACAGATAAGAACGTAAAGAAATCCTGTTTATATAAATAGCAACTTTATTGAAGTGTCTTAAAATGCTGATTTTACTAACAGAGGTATTTTACCTTCAAAACAAGTCGCATTATTAAAGTAGATATCGCGTTGTGAAATAACAAATTAAGAACTAAACAACTTCTGCGCTTATTAAATGTACATAATGGATATATTTCATGTTTTTCGACCACAATCATAATGACTAACTCAAAACAAGGAAATGTAAAGGATATCTTTTCATTTTGGAAGCATACTAAACGTAACGAAAAGATAAACGAGACTATACTTACGGGCTCTTATTTGACGAAATACTGTGGTTGAACTCATCAATGGTTTAGATTTTGTTTTCCTTTGTGTTGCGGTATGGATATGTACCATTGAGAATCAGAGTTTAAAACAAAGGAAAAAAGCATTTGAACCAAGGAAAAAATTGCACCACAACATTTATATAGGGCCTTTTTATCGAACTTTAAAGGCCGCAGTAATAGTATACAATCAACTAGTGTTTGTTTTGTTTTTTATGAAGATGACGAAATCATTAGTTGGCCTCCAAGTGTTAAACAAAGTACATTAAAGCGCATGAAGAGGAATATCTGGGGCATTTTGTCTTCGTTGACGTTTAAATAACACCAGGAGAGCTTTCCTAAACTCTGGCATTCTGATTGTGTAAACGATGGGATTAACAAGCGAGTTCATAAGAAATAGAATGGTTAAAGAAAACTCCAAACGTATTTCTTCCTGCAAAGAAAGGAATTTCCTGATACTAGGTTGAAAAATAAGAAAAATAAAAACCGCATATGGTAGCCACGTCAGTAAGGATACGATAGTCATTATGAATAATGTTACGGTCAGTTTCCTTTGTCTGTTGGCTGCACCATGGTGCTGAGGATGCGCTCCACACAAAAATTTAACAACAATGGAAGAGTAAGAAACACAGGTAACAAATAGACACAAACAACAGTATGATTGCCATACGTAATAACCATATTTAAACCATTTTTTATATCGCCTAATTATTAACCCGGCCGCAATCAACATTGCAGTTAAAACCCAGACAGCAGCAATTGTTACCCCGTAGACCCACTTTTTGACCAGGCGATGCCTGAAGGGACGAATTGTTGCATGCATCCGATCCAATGAAATCGCTGTAATGTTTGTTAGAGAGATCAGAGGAAAACACATGTAGAGAAAGTCAATTATCACATTCAGTTCCTGGCTTAAGTTCATTTTCACAATGTCGCATGAGAAAAGTGAGAGGAGTCGAAATAAAGGAAAGTGAGAAAATCCTCCGACAAACATATCAGCTATGGTCAGGCTTATAACTAGGTACATGGCACGAGTGCGAAGACTGCGGTTTTTTATAAAAAGAATAATTGATAGAAGGTTCACTGTTACTATAGCAAAAGACACGGTAAGGAATACAGCAAACCAGGTGATGCACTCGGATGAAGATAATTGCATGACTTGTTTTCTTTTTCTCCTTTTTCCTTCACACTTTTACCCGTTCTCTTCTGTTGTTCGTCTACCTTTAGAAAGAATTTGAATTGATTAAAGTTCGATTACTTAGAAAAGAAAAGTAGGAGGTGAACAAACAAGTCAAACAAGGTTGACGTCTGTTTTTTAAAGATCAGTAATGAAGATACATGAATAATAATTCGACGAATTAGGAAGCTCACCTTTAACTTACAGTTTTTCAAATTGCCTTCGCAAAAGCTGAAGTAAAAACCCTTGTTTTCACCTGTGGAAAAAATATCAGTGACGTTTGAGTGGAGATTAGGATAAATTGGTTGACTAAAAGCTGAGGGCATTAAATTCGAGTCGTTTTAGCTGAATATTTTTAAAACTAATTAATGTGAGCGCTCGTTCACCTGAGTATAATAATAATAAATATTATTATTATTTTTATGGTGGTGGTTTATTAACAGCATTTCCAAACAAAATAGCTCTACATCTGCTGATAAAATATATTATAGTATATCTAACTGATTTTTGGAAAACCAACCTAACGAAATTTGCAGTCATTTGACTGAAAAGGCGTCAAAAGGCAGGTTTCTTAAGCCCGAGAACGGCTCCAAAATCACAGTAACGAAGGAAAAGGAAAGGAGAAAAAGAAAGAGCGACGGAGGAGATCAGGAAAGGAGGAGAAGAAAAAAAAGCAATGGTTGCACTCTTAGTTTTTATAATGAGCTACTTTGGATATAGTTTTTGGCCGAAAAAAACTGTTGGACGGAAAAGGTTCATTTGACGATAACGTTTTCAAAAATCCGGCTAGATATATATAGCTAAACATATGTTATTACATCAGGAGCAAAAAATGTTCGTGGTAAAATGCAAGGGGTACTACTAACTAACAAGTCGAAACTTTTAACTAACAATCTAACTGTGGCTAAAATTGTATTTGAATCTATTACATTAATACTTTTTTAACATTTTTATTTCGCTCTTTCTAAATATTGAAGGTCTGTTTGGTATAAAGGGAGTAACTTATCACCAAAATGCAAATGTGAATCATTTCAGTTAACCCTTCTAAGACAATCAAAAGTCCATACTGAGACCGGAAAAAAATTACATGTTTGATGGAATCTCTTCGTGAACAATTTCATTCAGTTAAAGGAGCTGAAATTTCTCATGAGAATAAGACTGAAGAGGGCCTTAAGTCGAGGCTTAGCTCGGACAATCCTTGTATTTTAACACTTTCCACTGCAAGTATTTTTAGGTAAGTATATATTATAGTGAGGAGGAGAGAAACATCGCTCTACAACCCGCCCACCATATCCGACGCCGCCTCTCTCCAAAATTTACTTCATTTAAAATTCAAACCATTTAAGGATGTCTTTAAGATTGTTGTTTTAAAAAGCAGCTCTGCAAATGCGTTCTATGAAACTCTATAAAATTTACATCTGTTTGGTCATCCTTGGGCTTCTTCAACCGATGCGAATTTATTAACACGCTAGTACTTTTTCGAAAATCTTTGATGCTATTTAATATACAGAAAACTCAACATTTTCCGATGTACATCTTTCCGTTACTGATTTTAAAGCCCAAAATTTATTATAAGTAGTCCATTTTTGAGAATGATGTCCAAATATGGGAAGACAAGTGAAAAGTGAAAATCCCATTCCCAACTTCAATCAGAGAAGTTAATAGACTGAAAACTTCGAAAAACTGCGATGAATGATACATTCATCCATCGCATGAATTTTTAACTTTTTTCCAGCTATAAAAAACTCTAGATAATATGTGCTTCTTCGAACAGTTATTTCACAGAAACCAGTCGTTGGGTGCCTCAAGCTACCACATGAAAAGACTGAAGGCCCACTAGATGTGCTAAATATAGGAATTTGGTTAAACATTCGATTCTTAAGGATTAGTATAATAAACATTGCAGGTAAAACCCACACAAAAGCAGCAATTGTTACCCCGTAGACTCACTTTTTAATGAGGCGATGCAAAAGAGCTGTATAGGGACGAATTGTTGCATGCATCTGTTCCAATGAAATTACTACAATGTTTTTAAGAGAGGTCAGAGGAAACCAGACGAAGAGAAAGCCAGTTGTTAATGTCAGTTCCAGGGTAAAGTGCGGAAATTTCAAAATGTCGCATAAGTAGGGTATACGTAGAAGAGTGAGAAAATCCTCCGACAAACATATCAACTATGGTCAGCTTTATGACTAGGTACAATTTGGCACGAGTGGGAAGACTGCGTTTTTTAATAAAAAGAACGATTGATAGGTAAGGTTCACTGTTACTTATAGCAACAGGCATGGTAAGGACTACAGCGAACCAGGTGATGCACTGGGATGATATCATGGCTTGCTACTTTTTCGCTTCACACTTTTAATTCCCTGTTTCTCTCTGTTGCTTGTCTATACCTTTCAGAAGAACTTGAAAAAAAAAATTTCAGTTAAGAACGTGGACAAAGAAGGTTGATGTTAGTTCCGCAAAGATCGCTAATAGAGATACATTAGGACGCTGATCGACAGTATCGGTTGTTGCGACAAACGGTTTAATTAGTTTTTATTCTGCATGCGTCTCTGCTGAAACAAAGGAAGTTTAATGGTGTTTTCCTGTTTTGTAAGCTATGAAGGTTATCATAAAAAGGGAACAGCTTACTCTTGATGGTCAAGGATTTTTTAGAACTACTGCTAGGAAAATATCATAGTTTTCAGCGTTAATGCAAACTATACGATCAATTTCACTCGGTTAACGGAACTAAAATTTCTCATATGAAAATATGAAAAGGACGTAAGTCGCTTTCAGCTCGGCTTATCCCTGTATTTAAACATTACAAGCTTTTATGTGTGGGTATATAATATCATTGAACGCAACGCCGCGGTTAGGATATCAGTTTTTAGATTGTTTTTCAATAAAGATTTGCAAATGCTTTCTAAGAAGCACTACAAAATTTTTAACTGTTTTGTAGTTCTAGATCTCCTTTAGTCTATGCGAATTTAATACCTCCTTCTTATTACTCTTCCAAAAATCTTTGATGCTATTTAATCTTTTACAGGAAAACTCAACATTTTGCGATACCTCTTTCAGTTGATATTACGAAGCCAAAAATTTTAGTAGTAACTCCTTTATTGCGAATGATTATCAAACCTGGGAAGTCACGGAAAGATGAAAAACCGACTTTAGAAAAACGTAGAAAAATTATTGGAAAAAGAGTGTCGAAAATTGAGATGAATCGAACATTTTTCATCGAGGAATTTTTTTCTCGAGCTTTAGAAATTTCCAGACAATTATACTGTGCTTCTTCGAATTATCGTTTTTTTACACAAAACATTCAACCGTTGGGTGTCCCTGTACCACATCACGGAAAAGGTCAAAAGGTCCATAGAATGTCCTAAACAATGGTTAAGTCGGGATCAGGTTTAAAAATATTCGGTTCTTAAATAAAGGCGCAACTCTATCATACCGTAATTAAAACCTTTTTGTCAAGTTGCATTTTGTTTTCTTCTTGTGTGCAACTAACCTTTCACAAAATGCAGTTTGCTGGATGTGACAATGCGGAAAAAAAGACGTTGCGAAATATCAGTTAGGCTTGTAAACTGCCGGAGTAACATCCAACGCAGACGCCTCAAAGAATATTCTTCCGAATTCCGGCTCGATAAATACGGTTGTAAAATTATCTGCACACCAGTTTTGGAAAGTATTGCACTAAAAAGAAAATACTTTTAAAATATTTGCTTTTGCTTGTTATTTTTTCCGCATAATATATAACACGTTCTAAAACAAAACGCGATATAAATTCTACAACGATAAAAACTCGCAAATAATTCAATATTTTACCAAATATCATCCCCCTCCTGGAAAATTTGAGCTGAATGAGGCAAATTTTTTCATACTTAAAGGTGTTTTCGAAAAGATTGTCCTTAACTTGGGCTCTCCTGTATTGAACACGATGAGATTATTATAATAATTATTATAGGGCAAAAAAACTTTGATTTTACCATACTTCAAACAGGCTGGCAAATAATGATTTGTTTAAGATAAGTATATCTATCGCTCTACAACTGGTACGGTTTGACAAAAAATTTATGCTCACTGACTGCATGATACCGCAGTAAAAACCTTTAATTTGTTTCGTTTTGTTCCAGCCTGTTAACAGACCCTCTAGTTTTCTCTTCAAAGTCCATCGAGCGCGCGATAAAAAACAAAAACCGCGGGGGATTTGCTGACCGCCAGCAGAAGGGGTTACGGGTAGGGAAAGAGAAAATTCTTTATATTTCTTTCTCGCGCTCCGCGCTCGTTCTTGCTCGCCGATGTTCTCGAAAAGAACGAAAACAAAAAGAAAGCAACGTCTGTGTACAGGCTAGTTTTAATTTGTTCAGCCGTTTCGTTTTTTTTTTTAAATAAATAACTAACCTTTCGCAAAATGCTATGCTGGATGTCCCCACTGATCAAGCAAAAAAGTATATCTATAGTTTTTGTTTGGAAAATATCAGTTCGGATTGTAAAAGACGTCTGCGGTTCTGGTAACGCCAGCGAAAAATAATCTTCCCTTGATTTATACGGTCTTATAAATTATCTGTACATCTGTTTTGGGAAATAATATTTCACTATTAAACTTCAGTTTACCATGAATATTGTCTTGGCCATCATTTTTTACCCCTAATTATATCTATCCCCACTAAATAACTAAAAATTTGCTGCTGAATTAGGCTTTGTGTTAACTTGAACTTCCTTTTTAATCAGCCCACAACCAATCGACCCTACTTGATACACACACACAACGATTATTTCGCCTCCGTGCATCATTCAAGGTATCCCCACAGTTTCAAATTATAACTTATTTCATGTCAATAATTCCTGAACTTTTCCTGAATTTCTTTGATAAAAGTATGCCAAGGAAAACAGAACTGCAGGATAGTACAAAGAAAGAACACCGTTTACTACAAATCCTTTGGCCTACGTAGGGACTGGCGGCGAGTGAATGCGTTCCTCTCGATCGCCAGGGC